AGATGATCAAAGATCTGTAGAATGAAATCATGCAATGAATGGTTGAGGGAACTAGGAATGTCTGGTTTAATGAAAAGAAAGACTGAGGGCGACATGATAGCAAGAGTCCCAATATCTCAGGGGCTGCCCCAAAGAAGATGGAGCCAAGCTATTCTCCAAAGCACCAGAAGGCAGGACCAAGAAGCAGAGGGTGGAACTTAATCAGGAGTTACTACAGAAGCAACCTAGAACTAACGAGGGATTTCCTGACAGTGAGAACAATTAAGCAGTGGAGGGGCTTCTCTCCAGAAATTGTGAGTGCTCCATCACTGGAGGGTTTTAAGAAGAGACAGGACAACCACTTGCCTGTCCGCCGTGAGCAAGGGGTTGGACTAGAAGATCTCTGAGACCGTCCACTGATTAATTGTTCACACCGTCAGGAAATTTCTCCTTAGTTGTTGAGTCTCTCTTTAATGATCTTCCATCCATTTCTTCTTGTAATGAGGTAATTGTGGATTTTATTTTCTTCTTCCAGAGGATAAACTGTTCCATGCAATTTGCATTTCCTCCCCATCTTCGCCCAGAAATTCAGAGCCACACCGAAGAGCAGAGGACCAGGAAAAACCCTTGTGGCCCCACCCTTGGTATCTCCTTGGTGGATCCTTGGTGCTCTGAGAACCTGGTTTGCATACTGATCACCTTTCACTGCCGTTCCTGGTGATGTCCTCAGGGCAATAAGATTGGTCCATGAATAGGAAGGGTTGGCACACAGTACCTTCTCCTGCCTGCTAGTGATATTGATTGTTCCTCTTTCATTAATCCTGTCCCTCCTTAACCAGGATTGGTTAATAGATGGGCGGTGGGTGAGGGAGGAGCTCCCTGGGGTAATTAGGGTTCTCTGCTAGCAGTTTTTATTTATGTATTTATTTATTTGATTTGTCAATCGCTTACAAGATAATAGGTATAAGTATATACATAGTTATGAATACATGAAATGGGTACATATAAGAAAAATAAACAATAGGACAGGGACGGTAGGCACGTTGGTGCGCTTATGCAGGCCCCCTAGAGACCTCTTAGGAAAGGGGTGAGGTCAATAGTAAACAGTCTAAGGTTAAAGTTTTTCAGGTTTGGGGAAGAAACTACAGAGTCGGGTAGAGTATTCCAGACATTGACCCCTCTGTTATTGCTGAAGTCATATTTCCTGCAATCAAGTTTGGTGCGGTTAACCTTGAGTTTGTATCTATTGTTTGCTCTTGTGTTGTTATGGTTGAAGCTGAAGTATTCATTGACAGGTAGGACATTGCAATGGATGATTTTATATACTATACTTAGATCAGACCGAAGGCAGCGTAGTTCAAGGTTTTCTAGGTCTAGAATTTCAAGTCTGGTGGCATAAAGTATTCTACAACAAGTAGAGGAGTGGAGAACTCTTCTTGTGAGATATTTCTGGACTTTCTCAACTGTGCTAATATCAGATATGTAATGTGGGTTCCAGACTGATGAGCTGTATTCAAGTATTGGTCTAGCAAATGTTTTGTATGCTCTAGTTAGTAATGTGATATTACCAGAGAAAAAGCTACGTAGGATTAGGTTAACAACTCTTAATGCCTTTTTGGCTATGTAGTTACAGTGGGCTCTAGCACTTAGATCATTAGAGATGAGTACTCCAAGATCCTTGACAAAGTTTGGATCCTCAACAAGGTCTTGACTATTTAGCTTGTATTTTATTTTCTGATTTATTTTTTCTGCCAATATGTAAGACAGAGCATTTATTTGTTGAGATTTGAAGTTGCCATTCATTTGACCATTCTGATACATAGTCAAGGTCTTTTTGAAGGGTAGCAGTATTGTCAGTGGTGCTGAATAGCTTTACATCTTCAGCGAAGAGAACGCAGTTGCTCTTGATATGATCACAGAGGTCATTTATGTAGAGTATGAAGAGAGTTGGTCCTAGAACACTGCCTTGGGGGACACCACAGGTAGAGAATTTGATAGGACACTCCCAATTTTGACCATTTGTTGTCTGTTTGACAGGAATGCTTTTATCCAGTTATGCAGTAGTCCAGAGATACCATAAGATTTTAGTTTTAGGAGTAGTTTGTCATGTACCACTGAATCAAAGGTTTTACAGAAGTCTATGTAGATTGCGTCTATTGTTTTGCCCTGATTGAGTTGTGTAGTCCATGTGTTTTTGCAGTGTAAGAGTTGCAGATTGCAGGATAGTTTTTTTCTGAAACCAAATTGTTTATTGGAGAGTAGGTTGTTTGTCTCTAAGTGGAGGATAATGGATTGGTTAATAATTGATTCCATGACTTTACAGGTGACCCCAACTAGGCTGGGCTCTCCCTTTTTGAAGATGGGGATGACCGTGGCTTGTGACCATAGGTTAGGCAAGGAGCTGGTCCTGAAAGATTTTTCAAAGATTATGCTTAGAGGTTCGGCTATGGCAGTGGATAGCTTTTTAAAGAAGTAGGCACATATTCCGTCCGGTCCAATAGATAGAGATGGTTTTAGATTGCGTCGTGCTTTGTCAACATTGTCTTCTGTAAAATCGATTTGTATTAGATCATTGTAGTTGTCTGTGGTTCGGCTAGGAAATACTGGGCATGATCCATTGCTGTTTACAAATACTGAGCCGAGGAATGTGTTAAAGATGTTGGCTTTAATGGTGTTGTTGTTGCAGTCTTTACCATTAGGTCCTTTCAGGGGAGGGATGGACCTTGAGACTTTTAGTTTGTTGTTTACAAAATTGTAAAAAGCGCAGGTGGAATTGGTGCGTAGAAGGTTTTCCTCTTGTTTAATGTGATAATTGGTGCATTCAGTCTTTATCTGGTGGCATTTTTGTATCGGCTTTTGAAATTGGCAACGTGACCAGATTTGTTTTTCTGCCAGAGTGATCTGTTTTTGGATTGAAGTTTCCTTATTGTTATGGGTAATCTGGTTTTTTTGTGTGTGTTTGGGGAGTTGTTGTTGGTACATATAGTTTGATGACTCTTTTGACTTCAAGTAAAAATATGTTGTAATGGTCTTCAACAGTATTTCATCCAGTGAATAGAGATTGCCAATCAAGGGATGAGAGATCGTTGTTTATAAGATCATAGTTGCCTTTTTTGAAGTTATAATTGGGGATTACGTCATTGTGATGATTTTTGTGGGGGTGTATGTTGAGGCAAAAGTCAATCATATTGTGGTCACTGCTGGAAAAGGGTTCTTTAGTTTGTTTTCTGTAAATTAAATTCAAACTATTGCAGAAAATGAGCTCGAGACAGTTGTTTAGTCTAGTGTTGTTGGTTACTAGTTGTTCCAGTCCCAGATTTGTAACAGCACTGTAGAAGGTTGCGTGTGTGGGTTCAGTTGTACATTCGTTTAGGGTCCAGTTAATATGAGGTAGATTGAAGTCACCAAGAAAGATAAAAGCGTATGGGCAGGATGCTGCCCATGTTAGTAGTGAATTTAGCTTGTTTACATGTTCGATGTCATAATCAGGGGCTCTGTAACATAGTAAGAATCGAAATGTGATATTTAAGGATAGTTCACCGATGATTGTCTCCGGAAGAGCAAGCTCCTGGGTAAGAACCAATGGAAACTCATAAGTTTCACAAGACAGAGAGAACTTCAACTGCAGTGAGAGATGGATTTGGATTAGGCAAGGTCTGAGAATGCAGGAGAATTCCCATTTGTTGCATAGCAATAAGCAATAAGGCTCATCGATACCAAATATTAAAAACAGCATCCAAATAGCAATTGTTTTGATTTTGCAAGATTGCAACTGGTGTAGCAGGGCTGCTTAGTTGCAGTTCAGATGTTGGGATGGAGGCTGGGTTGACCCTGTTGGGTTTCAGAGATGCAACAATTCCGTCTTACCAAAATGATCTGCAGGATCACTTCTTCTTTAAAAAAAATATTTTTATGAAACATATTTCATCATTTTATATCACTTTTGCAGTCTTTGCAGCGCTCCAGCATCAATAATACTCATATATACATATCAATCACGTTCCTTTTTTCTTCTTTAACTATATACATTGCCATTAAGTTTAATATACCTCTTAAGTTACCTTTATATCTAATCTTTACTTCTATTTTCTCACCATTTATATCATGTGTCCCAGACTAAATAATATTTCATTTCCCCTCTTTCTTTTAATTTTAATGTTAGCTTGTCCATCTCCACACAATCTAACACCATTTTTTATCACTATTCCCTCAGGGTCACTTCTAATGGATCCTATTTCATGGAACAGACGGAAAACACCAAAGGTAAAAGTACAGATTAGGAGAAACACGGCTCAAAATCAGGAACTGTGAGGGACTTTGGAGTCCAAGTGACAATCTCTTAGACATGAGCCAGAAGTTGTGGCGGGAGCCGAAAAGGCAAACACAATCCTGGGTTGTATAAATAGAGGCATAGAATCAAAACCAGGCGAAGTATCGGGGCCACTTTATAAAGCCTTAGTAAGGCCACACCTGGAATTCTGCATCCAATTTTGGTCACCACATTGCAAAAAAATGTTGAGACTTTGGAAAAAGTGCAGAGAAGAAAAACTAGGATGATCAAAGACCTGTGGGGGTATGGGGTGTGTGTGGAAACAAATGAAGAACGGTTGGAGGATTTGGGTTTGGCTAACCTAGAGAAAAGAAGGACTAGAGGTGACATGACAGGAGTATTCCAGTATTTGAGGGGCTGCCACAAAGAGGAGGAAGGGGTCAACTTATTTTCTAAAGCAATCTGGAATTAAGGAGAAACTTCCTGACAGAACAATTCACCAGTGGAGCGGCTTCCCTCCAGAAGTTGTGGGTGCTCCATCACTGGAGGTTTATAAGAAGAGATTGGACAGCTATTTGTCTGAAATGGTATAGGGTCTCCTGCTTGAGCAGGGGGCTGGACTAGAAGACCTCCGAAGTCCCTTCCAGCTCTATTCCATTCCATTCCATTCCATTCTATTCTGTTCTATTCTATAGGGAGAACTGGGACCTGCCTAGCTTCCCCCAAACTGGCCAGCCCATCCAACTCTCAGGTTCCCTACCTGTTGTTCAACCATCTTGTGAAAGAGGAAGGAATTCGGATTCTCACTGCATGAAGTCATCCTGCTTCCTGGATCTGGAGGTGTGAAATTCCCAGCGGGGAGAATAAATAGAGCCAGCAGCCCAAGGGTGAGGCAGACGGCTTCATCATGTCTTCTGGAGGTCTTCTTCTCCTGCTGGGACTCCTCACCTTCTGGGCAGAGCTGACCCCCGTCTCCGGCCAGGACCGTCCAAGTGAGCTTTCAGAAAGATCTGGAGACCCTTGGAAGGGAGGGGCTGAAGAGATCAGAGTTCTCCCCCAGGGAAGGGAAACCAAAGAGCCCCAGTCTAGAACCTCTGGCTTGGTGGGGCTTCTCCTGGGGAGGTTCTTGAGATGGTGGTTGGGTGTCAACTGAACAGGAGACAGAAATGGCAGGGGGTCCCAAGAAAGAGAGGTGCAATTTTAGGGGAAGACTGACCTATCTTGACTCAATGCAGCAGCAGAATTGGGATTTTGAGCAACAGGAACAATCCCGTCAGCCATCTGGTTGAAACCCCAGAGAAGGGAACCAAGTGAAAACATCTTCTGTGGCTCTCAACTGCTTGCAATCTGAGCATGCTAGGAGGGCACCAGGTTGGGGAAGTGAACTGAAGATGTTTGTGCTATCTAATCAAATGACATCCACCCTCTTTCCATTTGTCACAGAGTTCTGTCATCTTCCTGCTGAACCCGGACCATGTAGAGCAAAAATAACTCGCTTTTACTACAACTCGGATTCAAAACAATGTGAAAAGTTTATTTATGGTGGATGCCAGGGCAATGCCAACAGGTTTAGGACCTACGATGAATGCCACCGCACCTGTGTTGGTAAGTAGGGAAGGGAAGGAGCTGCAGACTGACCTCTTTGTTGAAAAAAACCTGCTGTCTCTTAACACTAAGCATAAGATGGGCTAACGAAACATCGTGCTTCTCACAACAGGGACTCGTTGTCAATCGGGTTGAACTGTTAAAACTTGGGTGCTCTCTGAGCTGGGTGGCTTTTAAACTAAGAAACATCATCAGTCCTGGAAGTCAGGGGAGTTTGCAGAGGGGAGGAGGGGGGAGGGGGAGGAGGTCTTTGCTGCTCTCTGAGCCTGGTGGTTTTCTTGAAGACATTTCATTACCGAAGTAGGGAACATTATCAGTACCAGAAGGGAGTGGGGTTGGCAGGGAGGAGGTGGAGGTGGAGGTGGAGGAGGAGGAGGAGGAGGAGGAGGAGGAGGAGGAGGAGGAGGAGGAGGAGGAGGAGGAGGAGGATTAATGCTCTCTGAGCCTGGTGGTTTTCTTGCAGGTGTTTCATTACTGAAGTAGGGAACATCATTGTTAGGGATACACCCTAGCAGAATCTGCACGGCAGTCAGGCAGGCAGGCAAAATATGTGAGATAAACGTTTTTGTAGCTTACACTCAGTAAAACAGATACAATGTGCTAGTTAAATAGTTTATTCCAGTAAGCGTTATAGCATAGTCAAAACAGTCCATATATCATTCACCAGTTCAGTCCGTCCGGGGATTATTCAGTTGCAAAGTCCAGTGTCGAAAAAGAGGTCAGTAAACTTACGAATATCAGTCCAGTAATATATCTCCTTGCAGTAGAGATATGAATAAGTCAAACCTCCTTTCTTCCTTCGACGTTCAAAAACTCAGCAGCAGGGAACATGCAGTTAGCAAACCATCAGTCCAGCATAGTCAGCAATCCAGCAGGTTCTCTTGCTCCCTCTTATGGCAGTTTCACAACCGCACCCAAAATTACATGCTTTGCAGTTTAAAGTGACACACACTTAAACTTACTATCATAGTTTATATATATTATTTTACCCAAACTACGTTAGGTAACCTTGTTATTCCTAATAATCATCAATGCTAGAAGAGTGTGGAGTGTGCTCTCTGTTTACATACTTCCACTTGCATAATAAGCCTTGGTCGGGGTGGGTTTTTCTTCATGATGTTTTCTTGTTTTGGGTATTGTTTTCTGCTGGGGTTTTTGTCCCTGTTTATGGGGATATTGGCATGATGGCTGCATCCTGCCCAGTCCATGAACCACCAAGGACCCAATTCTAGGGGTCCCGATTTAGCCTAAGAACTTCAGGCAACTTCCGAGAGGTCCAAGGACAGGCTGTCCAGCCTCTGCTTTGGGAAGGGTCCTGTCTTATCCCCCCACCCCAACCCCGTATTTGGGGAGGGGACTGTGGGCAGTGGCGGATTAAGGGTCACTGGTGCCCTAAGCACTGACAAATCTTGGTGCCTCCCTCTTTTGTTTTATCAATTTGGGTTTTTCTCTCTCTCATCTTTTTGGTGCCTCCTTTGGGCCTGGTGCCCTAAGCATGTTCTTAGTCTGCTTAATGGTTAATACGCCACTGGTTGTGGGAATGTGCAGAACCAGCACAGAAAGTCTCTGCCCCTCCTTGGAATTCCTCCTTCCTCTTTGGTGGAAACTGGGGTTGTACATGTCCACCCCCGATCCCAGCCAAGAGAAGGGGGGGCATTTATAGTCTCCCCCCGCCCCCCCCAGGGTCCTGAGAGGTTGACTCCAGAAGGAAATGGATCCACTCTGTGGGAACAGAGATGGGATCCGGCTTCATCCTAAATGTAAGGAGATGTTTTGGGTCCTGAAAGGCCCAGAGATGGGATCTTTCTTGATCTGGGATTCCAATTCTGGAGGATTCTCTCAGCCTTGGGATCTTCTCCTTTGCAGAAAAACCTGGAGTGTGTCCCCTGGGTCCTCAACAACAACAACAACAACAAAAACTTCCTTGTCTCGAGAAGTGTCAACATGACTGGAACTGTCCTGGGGAGCAGAAGTGTTGCCGTTACGGTTGCCTGACTGAGTGCAGGGACATTGTCTATATGATACACGGTAGGTCCCATACATTGTCCCCTGTGCACTTTGCGTAGACCAAAGGAGAAGTCGTGGGGGGTCTCCTAGGCCTCAACGTGGTCCGGGCACATGCAGGTTTCTCTGGGATCTTCGAGGCTCTCCTCATGTCCGTCAAAGGGAGAGCAGGTGCCCAAAAGGAAGGTGCCACGATGCTGAAGCAGAACCTGGTGTGGTGGGACCCTCCTTCCAGACCGATATCCACACATATCTGTGGAAGCCCTCAGACTGACCCTCCCCCTCCCACTGTCTCTTGACCTCTTCTCCTCTTGAACCTCCATCGGTAGAATGCGCCACCGCACCCATTTAGCTGCTGCTTGGCACTGTATTGAAAAAAAATGGCCTTCTTCATGGCCGTCATCCTGGTCAGAAAGCCAGAAGGATCCAGGCAAAGAGGACTTCCAGGAGAAGCAGAAGCTATGATAGAAGACCTTTGCCCACTTTGGCCCAGCTCATCCTCTTGGCAAGTTAGAAAGCTCCTGTGAGCATGTCCTTGTCCGTGTTCCAAGAGGTGGCCTTGAGGTCTCCTAGAAGGAGAGGATTGGGGGAAACACTGGAGGTCATCTATTCCAGGGGTCTCCAACCATGGCAACTTTAAGACTTGTGGACTTCAACTCCCATAGCTTTGCTGGCGGAGGAACTCTGAGGGTTGAAGTCCACAAGTCTTAAAGTTGCCAAGGTTGGAGACCTCCGATCTAGTCCAACCTCCTTCCAATACAGAAATCCTCAGAGCATCCTAGAGAGATTCTGTCCCATCATTGCATGAAACCCCCAGTGATGGAGCCCCATAACTCCAACGGAGAGGCTGCCCCATCGCTTCCCTTCTCTCCCAATCAGGACATTCCTCCTGATTTCAGCTTTGGGTCTCCATGGTTCTAAGATGAGGAAGGGAGAAGCACGGGGTTCAATTCTGGGCAGAAACCTCATATCTGAACGTTTCTTTTTACAGGATCCCCAACGAAGAGACCCTCCCGGATTGGAACAACTGTTCGAACTTGAACCAAAGAGTCTTCTTCAGTCCTGGACCACCCCGGAGACCCTCCCCGCAAACCCCACCCTGGGCTCATTCCTTTCTTTCTGCAATAAAGCTTTGGTTCCAGCTGCCCTCTCGGTCTCGTGTGTCTCCTTCGGCCCCTTTGGGGGTTTCCCCTCCCCCCTTGATCCATGTCCCCCCCCCCGAGGAAGAGGGGTTGAGAGGAAGCGCATCGTTCTTCAATATGGCTCTCCAGAAAGAGTGCGCAGAGGAAGGAAGAGTGCCTTTATTCAACGAAGGGGAACAGAAAAGAAGAAAAACAGGAAAAGAACACAGCAGGAAAAACATTAGATACAGGAGGGTTTCTTTTGGGTGTAGATACACGTTTACTTTACACGTAATAGTTGTCCATGCAAAGTCTCCTTTGCCTGCCACCTGCTTGTAAGTCATCAGTAACGTCAATTCCTGGGAGGAGAACCCAGAGCCTCTGCAGCAGAATTGCTCCCTTGGGCCCCTTCTGATGTCCCCCAAGGCTCCTCAAAGGCCTTAGTTGTCTTCTCTCCAGAATGGCCACTCCAGGATCTTCAGCCTGTTCCCATAAGCCACGTCCAGGAGGCTCCGGGTCACCTGGCAGACACATCAACGGTCAGAGGGTTGGAAAGATTGCAAATGGGTGTGTGGAGCCTCCTTGGCTGCAAGATGTTTTCTGTCCTGTCTGTCTTCCCTGTCGAAGACATTCCCATCCCACCATCCTATCAGAGCTGAAAAAGCTTCTTGGATGAGAAGCAAAACGCCTTCAAAGACAAAAGAAGAAAGTCCAGTGGCCTCCTCAGAAAGCTCCTTTGCGACAACCATGATCTGGATGACGGAGAATCTCCATAGACTTTCGTTCCTCCTTCGTTTATCTGTCCTTGTTCCTCCTTAACCAGGGTTGGTTAATTATAGATGGGCATTGAGGGAAGTGGTCTCTTAGCTGATTTAGCATTGCCAGCTGGCAGTCAGAAGAACCCACGGAAACTCTAAATTTCACAGGACAGGGAGAATTTCACCTGCACCGAGAGACGGATTTGGACTAGGCAAGGTCTGAGAAAGCAGGAAAAGTCCAGGAAGTTATTGCATGTCAATAAGCCTCATCGATACGGAACATTAAAAACAGTAGTCAAATAACAATTGCTTGGGTTTTGCAAGATAGAACAGAGTAGAATCAGAGTTGCAAGGGACCTTGGAGGTCTTCTAGTCCAACCCCCTGCTCAGCCTGCAACCCCCTGTAACATTTTAGACAAATGGTTGCCCAATCTCTTCTTAAAAACCTCCAGTGTTGGAGCATCCACAGCTTCTGGAGGCAAGGTGTCCCGCTGATCAATCGTTCCAACTGTTGGGAAATTCCTCCTTAGCTCCAAGTTGCTTCTCTCCTTGATCAGTTTCCATCCGTTGCTTCTTGTCCTGCCTTCAGGGGCTTTGGAGAAGAGCTTGACTCCCTCTTCTCGGGGGCAGCCCCTGAGATTTTGGAAGGCTGCTATCATGTCACCCCTATTAGTCCTTCTTTTTTGTCAGACTAGACATAGTTCCTGCAACCGTTCTTCATATGTTTTAGCCTCCAGACCCCTAATCATCTTTGTTGCTCTTCTCTGCACCCTGCACTCCGTGCAATTTGTGTAGTAGAGCTGCTCAGTTGCCCTTCAGATGTGGGGATGGATTCTGGGTTGACCCTGTGGTCAAGAGGGAACAATTTGATCTTAAAGAAACAATCTCCGGAGTCATCTCTCAAAGGAGTTTTTTGTAAGAGGCAACTGGACTTCTGGTTTTTCTTTGAAGACCTTTCACTTCTCATCCAAGAAGCTTCTTCAGCTCTGAATGGATGGCAGGGAAGGGAAAGATTTGTATGCAACTGTCTGTAAGGAGTGTAATCCTTCCATTCCCTGCCATCCAGTCAGAGCTGAAGAAGCTTCTTGGATGAGAAGCAAAACGTCTTCAAAGAAAAACCAGAAAGTCCACTTGCCTCTTGAAGAAGCATCTTTGAGACAACCATGACCTGGAGGACGGAGAATCTCGATAGACAGATCTCCAGGGTCCCTTCCAATGGATCCTTCTTCATAGAACCAAAGCTACAAGTACAGATTAGGCGAAACTTGGCTCGAAAACAGGGAGTGGAAGGGGCATCTAGGAGTCTTAGTGGATGATCGCTTATCCTTGATTGCATAAACCAGGGGGGTCCAACCTTGGGAACTTTAAGACTTGTGGGTCTTCACCTCCAGTATTCCTCAGCCAGCAAAGCTGGCTGAG